GCCCCAGACCTCGTCAACCACGGCTGCAGCACTTGTGGCGTGGCCGACACGGCGCGGCACGCCAATCGGGAGTGCCCAGCCACTGCCCAGAGGCTCGCGCAGACCTCGGCCTTGAGGTCAGCGCCGTCGGCGCGAGCCTGCCTGAGGCCGAGACGGCAGCCCTCCGGCTGAACGGCCGGGTGCGGGCCGACCGGGGCATCCACCCCAGAATGTGCGCCATCGAGCATGCGAAGGCCATCGTGGGCAATCGCAGGCTCGCCCGCAAGATCCTGGAGCTGAAGCTCGTCGTCTTCGACAGCCACTTCAACGTCCTCGAGGGCTTTGGCGCCTCGAGGGCGAATTCGACCAACGGTGCAGCTAGGACTATGAAGACATCCTGCTGTGTAACAGCGAGTTTCAGGTCTTCCTCGGAGTGGGCCTTGCGAGGGGCAGCGCCCTGCAGAGCCACTCCGAGTGCAATGACCTCCTGGAGGAGCTGCGTAGCACGAACACCAATGAGAGCGGCGACCATTGCCCGAACAGCAACTGACGCGACTCGCACGCACGTGCTCACATTTTGTCCCGCTGCTAGCGTCCTGCTGGCAGCTGCGCGCCGACCGCCCAGGCGCGCGCCCGCGGGCTCCCGGGCGCCCCTCCCCCTTTTCGACTTTTTGACCCTGGGAGGCTTGACTTCTTTTCGGCGGCAAGCGCCGCCGCGCCGAACAGCGACCGAGCTGGTGGCGATCGCACCCCGCCGACCTGTTTCCGGACAGTGGACAGTGCCAGCGGGGCCTTCGCCAGTGGGCCCCCCGCACCGCTGCCGCGCGCGTCCATCTCGCTTGTCCGTTCAGCGGGGGCCTCCCTGCTTACGTTCCGCCTCCGCCCCCGCTTGCAGTCCTGTCGAGTGCTCAGGGATCGTATGCCAGTCGGCAGCGAGGATTCTTAGCCGCATTCTGCTCCGCGCTCGGCGAGGTTGAGGGCTGGCAGCGCCTCCCTGCCCCCGTCGGCGCCCCCTCGGGCCCTGGCGAGGCTGGCCCGGCGGTGCCTTCTCAATTCGCCCAGGGGGGGCCTCAAGGAAAAACCCTGCGCCGAGCAATTTCTGCGCTTCCGCGCCGGCGCTCTTCCCCCGCCTGCGGGGGCCGGCGACCCTGCCCATGTTTGCGACCAGCCTGTGGCCTCGTCCACGGACCGCCCTCTGCGACGGCAACGACCAGCTCCTCGCCGACCACCAGGAGTGCGAGCGCGAAGTTGCACCCGCATCCTCGAGGGCTTCCGGCCATGCCCGCGCAGCGATCCGCACTGGTAGAGCAGGCCGGGATCGCTGCGCGGGGGGCCCCACCCGCGGGTTCCCGCACTCATGACCAACGCTGGGCCCCCACCTGTGGGTCCCAAGGCCCTTCGGCCCCGTGCGTTGCGGTTTGAGCCGGTCTCGCCTGCGCCCAGGGGCTGGGCGGGTCGCCGCCAGCTTGAGCATGTGTGAGCCGATTTGGCAGCGCTGACTGCGAGAGCTCATCCTCTGTGCTTGCCCGACGTCGACGCGGGCTGAATTTTCGACGGGCTCAGTCGTCCTCGGTGCAAGGCTACTGGCCGCACAAGCCTCGAATTTCGGCTGTGCTGGGCTGTTTGGTTGCCCGCCTTCTTCCCCTGGCGCGCCCTAGGGTGCTGGTTTGGGCTGGCGATGCGGGTTCAATGTCTTTTTCGAGTCGCGCGGGGGTCAACTCAAGGAGTACTGCTGCGCTTTGCACACTGTAGCCGCAATTTAGTTGCCCCGCTCATGCGCCGCTTCACCCCGCCTATGGTGCCGGGGGGGGGGGTCGAGTTGGGCGTGTTTCCCGCCCTGACGCGGCCACGTCCTCGAGGGCATCCGGCGCCTCGGGGTCAGACGTCATCGAGGGTTTCCAGGCGCTTCGAGTGCAGTTATGTTTTTTCTCTCGTCGAATCTGGCATCCTGCAGAGTGTTGGTGGCGGACGACGCCTTCATATGGTGGGCCTCCACGTTGTGAAGGTGGGGGCGTCGCCGACGACCCGCCGAGTCTCCCCGAGGACATCTACGTCGTTTGCGACAGCGTGGTCTGGCCGCCATGGCCGCGCAGCGATCCCCACTTGGTAGAGCAGGCCAGGATCACTTCGCGGGGGCCCCATCCGCGGGTTCCCGCACTCATGACCAACGCTGGGCCCCCCACCTGTGGGTCCCAAGGCCTTTCGGCCCCGCGCCTTGCCCCTTGCGCCAGTCTCGCCTGCCCCTGGGGGCCCCGCCGGGCTGGGGCGGGCGGATCGCCGCCAGCTTAGACCATCTGTGAGCCGATCTGGCAGCGCTGGTTGCGAGAGCTCATCCTCTGCGCTTGCCCGACGTCGACGCGGGCTGAAATGTCGAGGTGCTTAGTCGTCCCCGGCGCGGCGAGGCTACTGGCCGCGCGATCCTCGAGTTTCGGCCGTGTTGGGCTTTCGGGCTGCCTGCCTGCCTCCCCTTGCGCGCCCTGGGAGTCCTTGGTTTGGGCTGGTGGTGCTGCGGGTTCCATGCCTCTTTCCAGTTCGCGCGAGGGTCAACTCAAAGAGTACTCCTGCGCAGTTCACATTGCAGCCGCAGTTCGGTTGGCCCGCTGCAGTCGCTCTCACTATAAGGCGTTTTTGCTACGTGCTTGATTCGGACGCGCGCCTCCACATGGGGAGCATGGACCAAGTATGCTCTTGTGCGCCCCACCCTTCTCTCTTATATTTCTGAAAGATGCAGCTCTGGTAGCAGACCAGTCTCTGGCGTCGAGACTGTAGACCGATTGATGCTTCGCAGCATTCCTTCTCGATTGGCGTGCATCTCAGCTCCGTAGCTGGCCTAGAGCTCGAAATTAATTCAGGAACCGCGCATCATTGCTGGTAAAATATTTACAGTGCGAACAATTTGTTCAGTCGTAGCTGCGCTTACAGGCCGAATTCAGACGTCTCGATATCGCTGGCGAATGTACATGATGACCTTCTGCTTCGAGAAGCGCTTCTCAGCTTCGTAGACAGCCTACAGCTCGAACAGAGTAGAGAAAACGATCATGATCTCTTAAACAATTATCAGAGACCCTCGATGGGGGAGGGACGGAGGGGGGGTGCGGCGGGGAGGAGACCCCCGTCGCCCCCCAGGGATAGTTAGGGGAACGAACAATGACATAAACATAAATACTCGGAGGTCCGCGCAAATTTCTCGGACCGGCGCTGACCTCCCTGGCGGCGCCTCCGGCGCCGCCCCGGGCAAGCTCTGCGCGCCAGGGAGGGGGGTCCAGCGCCGATCCGAGAAATCCGCAAGGGCCTCCGAGTTTTTATGCTTATGTCATTGTTCGTTTCCGTAAGGTCAGGCGATCGCAAACATGGATCAAGGGGGCGTGGATTAGCGACGGGTCCCGTTTCCATGGGAAATCGCGGATTTCCGCCGCCGAACGCGGCGGCACGGGCCGCATTTTGTGGAAGGCACCTCCCCCGATCCATGGATTTGGCGACCGCGCGCCAGATCCATGGATCGCCAATCCATGCTTGCGCGCCCCCGATCAGGGACCTGCTCCCCGCCCTTCTCGAACCAGGCGCCGCACAGTCACCAACACACTTCACAAATCAGACGCGCCGATACGGGCGAATGGCCCAGGGGAGAGCAGTACCGATGATCTATGCCTTCGAAAATGCTCCCGGGCGAATGCGCGTAATGCCCGCCCCTGGGTTATTCGCCCCTATCGTCGCCGCCGATGCTCCGCCCTCGCCCCCCAGAGGCTCCCAAGATGACCCCTCCTCCTCCTCCTCCTCCTCCTCATCCTCCTCCTCCTCCTCCTCCTCCTCCTCCTGCTCCCCTCCTCCCCCTGGGCTATTCGCCCCTCTCCCGCCTCTGACCACTCCGCTGGGCGGCCGTGCGCGCACATGGGGAGGGGAGCGGCACGCGGCGCCCCTCGGGCGCCCTCGGCGCGGCGGCCCCGCTCCTCCAGGGCGCCAAGGGGCCCAGGGACACGCGAACAGATGCACACAAATCCCAGGAGTCCCCACACTTTCGCACATCTCCTTGATGTTCGTCTTCCCCCCCCCCGCTGCCCATGTTTTCCCAGATTTTCCTGGACTTCGACGTTTGATGGTGTCTGTGTGCTTTTTCCCCCTCCTGAAGGAAGCGCCCGTTCAGCGGCGGGACACGCCGCGCGGCGGGCTTGTGCTCTGGTGCGGTCTCCCCCCGAAACCCTTGGAGCGTCAAGGGCCGCCAGGTCCCACGGGGTCACGCCGAGGGGGAACGCGACCCGCGCGGACCAGGGACCAGGGACCAGGGGCCAGCCCCAGACCCCCGACGTCATTTTTGTTCCCTGTGTCGGCCCCCAAGGGTCTCGACCCGTTCCCCAGGAGTTGTTTTATTCATCCCGAGTTGTTTTTTTGTTCACGGCCCCGAGGCTCGGGAAGGGCCCCCCCAGAGACCGCGAATAGCGAAACGCTCGTCTTCCTGTGCCTCGAGGGGGGCCAGCAGACCCTGGCCTGGCGGGCGCGGCCCGCGCGGGAGAGGGCTCTCGCCGCCAGGAGCCAGGAGCACGCGCGTGCGCCCCGCGCGCGGCACCGCCCGTGCCTGCCGCCGACCCCCGCACGCCCCGCGGCGCGCGCGACGGAGGTGCCGGCGGGCTCTCCACGCTCTCGGCGCTCGGCCGGGGACCCGCAGATCGGGCCCCGCCCCCCCGTGCTGGAACGCGGCGCGTGCCGTGTTCGAAGCGTCCGGGTCGAACACGCTGCGTGTTGGCTCCGCACGTATCGGCTCACGCTTCGGCGCACTCCTGGCGCCAGGCGTGCGCTTTCAATCAGCGGGTCGAGCTCCGTGTGAACGCACTGCGGGTTGCGTGTTGCACAGCGGGGCAGGTGAGGTCAAGATCAGACAGATGGTCCTGGGGCGAACAGGCCCCTGAGGTGGAGTCGAGGCCCAGACGTATCCGACGATGTGATCTGTCGAGCTGCTGCCCCAGAGCTCCCGACTCCTTCCACGGGACAATGTTTTCTTTCTTTTGGATTCGTTGAGTGAGTCCGAGATGCCCAATTGGTTGTTAGGTCGTCAGGTCCCGGGGCCAAGAAACGCCCGCGAGAGGCCGACCATTGAGGAATCACGCCGGGGATCGAACAAACAAAAGAAGTTCTGAGGCCCACGCCGCAAGCAACAGCCGTGGCGTCGGACGTCTTCGCCCATGGGGCCCCAGGTCAACCCCTCTGGTGCGAGGATCACACCGCGCCTCACACATCGCGGCGTGGGCCAGAGAGGCTCCCACACAGCAGCCTCTCCAGCCCAGCGGTGCGCCAAGCCGGGTGAATCAGGGAGCTTTTGCACAGCGTGTCGCTCCGCCGGTCCTGGCCCACCACGCTTGGGCGCGACACGCCTCAGTACCCGGACCTCAATGTTCCGAGCTTTCCCGAGCCTTTCGCCCCGCGGAGCGGAGCGACACGCTATCCGCTCGCCGGGCAGGGCGTATGGCCGGGGCCGCCGCGGTGACACGCTGCGGTATGCTCGCGTCCTGTCGACCGGCTGCGATCCCGCCGCCCATGTTCAGTGCTGGACGCCGCCAGCGACCCAGAATTTTTCGATGTTGAACGATCTGGCGTTTCGAAGGCGGCCGATCGTTGAATGTGGAACGACCCCCGCGGCGTTAGCAACCAGAGCCGAAGTCGGCACGACACGAATCTTCAATACCCCAACCTCAACCTCGGTTCCCCAACCTCAACCTCAACCTCACCTCCATACTCCAACCTCGCTGCTCGATACCTGAACCTTGATACCCCAACCTCGACCTCAAACGTTGCTCGAACCTCAGCCTCGAACCTAGCCAACCTCAACCCCCACACGGTGGGGGCGTTCGTTAAGCAACGTGCCCAGGAGGCTCCAGACACTGGAGGATTCCTTATCTGATGAGGGCGGCAGTGGTATCCAAGGCCAATCCACGATTGGGGGTCCACCAGCTTCAAGACCCTGGATTCCTTATCCAATGCCCCGACCGCAACTCAACCTCGGTACCCCAACCTCTACCTCAAGTGTTGCCCGAACCGCGGCCCCGAACCCTGCCAACCTCGACCTCCGCACCTCCAGGAGCCGGCGCCGAGGTCGGCACGACGCGAACCTGCCGTGCGTGGCTGGGCGCGCACGCCACTCGGGGGCCCACTGCCGTGGGCCGCCCGCCGTCTCGCGCGGCAGCGAGGCCCGGCCAGCGGCCGCGTCGAGGGGCGGCCCTCCGTACCCCGACCCGCGAGCCTGCCGTGCGCCGCAGCTCCCGGCTCCGGGCGGGCCGCCTGCGCGTGCCCGCGCGCGCGCCGCCGCAGGGCCTCCCGAGCGGGCCGCCCCCCTCGCAGGCCTAGAGATTGACACCAACACCAATTTCGGCGGTGTGCCTCCACCGAGGGAAGGAGATCCCGGTCTCGGTGATGGTGGTAATATTCTGGCTTCCAAGGTGGCCGAACTTTTTGTCCACCAGCACCGAAACTCTAGGATCACCTTCCCCCTGTGGAGGCAACCCCCTGTCTTGGTGTTGGTGCCAATTTCCAGGCCTCCGAGGCCCCGCGTTTCCCCTGTCGACGGCGAGCGAGGGGGGGGGGGAGCGAGAAGGAGAAGGCCTCCTCAGAAGGCGGCGGGACGCCTCAGAAGCCCTCGCGCCTTCGCGGGAGTGTTTTTTTCTGTCTCTCCAGGGGAAGGCTTAGGGGAAACTTCTCAGAAGGCCGTGGGACGTCCGAGCCTTCTGAGAAGGCCTTCTCCTTCTGAGTTCCCCCCCCATCGCTCGCCGCCGACCCTGCAGGTGCTCCTGAGCCGCCGGGACGGCGACGAGCTGGGAGACGACCCTGCGGAAGGCGCGCCGGCGGCGCGGGCAGGGAACCAGGTGCGCAAGTCTTTTCCCCTCGAGCACAAGGCCAAAGGTGACACAGCAACCTCGCGAGTCGAAATTTCGCAGGGGAAGCCGGGAACACCGTACAAGGCGACCTGCAGGCAGTTTCATGCAATGAGCCGTGGCAGGAACAGCAAATGGACAATGCCGTTGCGACGGGAGCGAGGATCGGCGGCGCGCACAAGGGGGCAGGGAGAGGGGGGGAGGCGTCTCAGAAGCACCCCGCTGCTCAGAAGGCGCGGGTTTTGTTTGCAGATGTAGGTGAGAAGCAGCCTCCTTCTGAGAATCAGGAGGGAAAGAAACACACAGACACAATTAATCGTCAATCCCCAGGAAAATATGCGAAAATATGGGAAGTGGGGGGGAAGACAAACACCCAGAAAATATATGAAAATATGGGGAATATTTTTATTTGTGTGTATTTATTTGTGTGTTCTGGGGCCCCTTTAGAGAAGCCTCCCCCCCTCCCCCTACCCCCCTTGTGCGCGCCGCCAGAGGGGGCGCGCGGGGGCAACGATGAGTGCGTGGGTGGGCATGAGAGGGGGGCGAGGCGTCGACCTCGAGTGTTTGATAGATCGACGATGCGTCGTTGACATCAGGGCGGTGCATCGACGACGTATAGGCGATGCACGGGACGGTCTGCATCGACGATGTATCCACGATGCATGGGCGATGTATCGGCCGTTCGAGGTCGATGCATCTCCCCTATGCCTATCCCCCACCTACCGTTTCCCCTCAGGTGCGCGGCCCAGAAGGGGGGGGATCGGGACGATCGAAACGGGTACGGACAGAAGGGGTGGTCAAGCCGACGACATTTCCGGTTCATTTGGAACAGGGTTCGCTGTCGGTGTCGCCGCGGACGTTGTTCATTTGCGACGTGAGTTCGCCTGTCCAGCAGCAGCCGCGGTTGGTTTCGGACGACATTCGTTGTTTGGGCAGCGTGCCCTCTTCCGTATCCATTTCGGCCGTCCAGGGGTGGGCGGGTCACCACCCACCAAACCACCCCAACACACACCGACGGCCCAAATTTGCCCCCAACTTCCAGTGGGGAGGATCGGGGAACACTGAGAACATACATGTGGCAGCAGTGCCCCCCAAAACCCGAGATTCGGCTCTTCGGGTCGGGTTGGGGTGGTCTGGTAGGTGGTCAGCAGGGGCAGGGGCAGAGCGCGAGGCGGGCGGGGAGGGAGAGGAGATTTGTTTTGTTGTGCAGCGGGCCGCTGCAGCGCTCGAACGTGCAGTCGAGACTGATCAGTAGGTCGACCCTGCCAGATCGAGGGTACCCTTGTGTCCCGAGCTTCGCGACCCATGCCTTCTTGCATTCCTGTGGCAACGTTGCCCTCGGAAGGGTCCTTGTGTCCTCTCGCGTGTCCTCTCCAATCAACCCCGACTGTGGTGCCAGCCTGGAAATCGCGGTAGAGACCGGATTAGGACCTTCTGCCGAAGCGGGGAGGGCGAGTACGGGGAGGAGGTGCAGGAGGACAACCAGGTGAACTCCTGCAGGGGCTTCTCGCAATTGCACGAGTGTTGATGATGTGTGTTCGCAGCTGTCGTACGTATTGCGCACCTTGGGTGGAATGACAGCCAGGCGTCGGTCTGGACAGAGAAAATCGAGGAAGGTACCATTGTTCGCGGCTTGTTGTAGGTCAGATGTTCTGCGCATTATCGGGATAGAAAACCAGGCCGTTCTGTGACCCGAGGGAGCGCAGCATCCTTTCCCACGAGAGTCTGTTGATCTGTGGAGCTTGCCAGCCTGGGTCTATGTTCTACGGCCTTCCCTTCCATTCCCTTCCTTCTCACCGCCCTGCCCCATCCCAGTCTGTCCTATTCGATCCTGGGCTAGTCTGCACTACCCCGTCGTGGCTTGTCCTGCCCTCTCCTTTCCTTTCCGGTCCTTCCCCGTCTCTTTTCATTATTCCTTTTTCGTTTTTTTTTTTTTTTTTTTTTTTTTTTTTTTT